ACCATCGATGAGGCGCCAGTGGGCGGAACACCATCTTGTTCATCCAGGAGCACAAGCTCTCGCACGACTACGTGGGCGAGGTCAGTGCAGCTTGATTCAACAGGCACCTCGCGGCAGGGCCCACCGACTCGGCGACGGGCCCTGGCGGCGGTCGCACAGCGGGGGTGGGATTCGCGGCGCCCCGATGCCTGGGCCTGACCTACCTGGACGGGGTCGCGACCTATGACTTCTCACCTCCAGGCTCGCCAGGGCGCGCAGCAGCGGCCTGGGCTGCAGGGTTCCTGAAGGGCGGCCTGATGCTGGACACCGCCTACTCCTGGGTCAACATTTCGCGGGCCATCCGCGACCTCGGGGAGCTGACATCCCGCGGGCGCTGCAGGCGGACTTTTGCAGGCGGGCGACTGGCGCGGCGACGCGGGGGGGCGTCGTCTTCGCGCCTGAGGTGGTCGCTTGCCAGGGCAGGGGCGGGGGCCGCACCATCGACTTCTTCGTAGTGGGCACGCGCATCGCCCACGCCTTCGGCCGAGCGCAGGCGATGGGCGCGTCAACCTACCCCCCGCAGCCCCGTCAGCTCGGTGACCAGCCAGCCCTTGCGCATCATGACGGGCTGGCTGCTAGTCAAGCCGAGGGCCTTCCCCGCGGGGCGTCGTCGGGGGCCGCCCGGCTGGCCGCAGTTCGACCCCGGCGCGCTGCGCGGCGATGACGAACTGGAGGACCTCTGGCGTCGTTTTTCGGCGGCGGCGGAGGCTGACTTGCAGGGCGTCTTCGACCTGGTCGGGGAGGGCGACTTCGTCGGCCGCGGCGACTTCCCCAGGCGGGCCCGCGCCCCCTCTGGCCGGCCCCGGGGCGCGCGCCCGACCCCGAGGCACCGCGCGCTCGAGGGCATGGCGCTGGGCGGCAGCCAGAGCGGGGGACCTGGCCATGCTCGCGGACGCGGCGCACCAGCAGGGCCCATGGGCGCCTTTGGCGAGCCGCTGGCGCAGGTTGCATCGGCGCCCCACCCACGGCGCAGCTCGACGGCGCGCGGCCCCGGGCAATGCTGAGGCAGGCCCAGTCCACCGGGAGCTCCTGACCCTCGTAGCCACGCGGTGGGTGGGGGGGGCCCTGCGCCACGACGTCCCTAGGGCTCTGGCCTTGCAGCGCAGGGCAGCAGCGCGGGCCTTCGAGATCGAGCAGGGTCTGAAGAACCAGCGGGCCAATGCGTGGCGCGAGAGGCTTCGCGACGGCTCTGCGGGGGGCGCTGGCTTCACCCATCGCATGTCCAAGCGGGGGCACAGCGCTTCTCCCGCCCTCGGCGCCAGGGGCCACGCCAACCGGGACGCGTCCGACCCCAGGTCGCCGCGGACGCCGCGGCCCTCGACTGGATCGACCTCTGGACCTCCCGCGGCGCCGAGAGCCGAGGCGAGATCGACGGCCACGGGAACAGGTGGAATTCCCCCACTGCCCGGCCCGCCCCGCCCCCAGCGAGATTCGAAAGATTTGCCGAGCATTCCCCGAGCACACGGGAGTGGGGGTGGACAATTGGCATCCGCGGTGGTGGGGGTTCCTGAGCGACGGGGGCCTCGAATGTCTGGCCGCTTTTGCGGCCCTCGTCTCTCGCGCCGCGCGCTGCCCCCCCCCCGCCGCGGCGCGTGCAATCTTCCCTGTGGTCCAAACCTTCGGGGGGCACGAGGCCCATCGGCCTGCGCGCCGCGAGTGCGAGGCTGGTCGAGCGAGCCCACGCGAGTTCCTTTTTTTTCGATTGGGAGCGATCGATTCGACGCAATATGTCGAGGCCAAGGAGGCCAGGGGCACCCCCGTTTCCAGGGCTAAGCCAGGTGGCCCTCCAGGGAAAGGCTTTATCCTGGCGGCCAGCTCTTCTCTCAGGGTCCGATTTCGGTGGTGGGCCCAAAGTCTTGACCTGAGCACCCTGGGCCACAGCTCCCAGTTGGGGGTGGACTCGGCTGGGGGCGCCCCGATCCAAGTCAGGCGCTGGTTCGATGATAGGCTGGCCAGCGCCCGACGTTGGAAGCTCAAGCTTAGTAGTCTAGCCAAGCAGGGGGCCAGGCCTGTCAAGGTCGCTCGAACGGGGTTCATGCCGTCGGTTCTGCACGGTGCTGCGCGCCTGGGCCTGGGCCCCAATCGAACCGACCAGGCCCGAATTATGATGGCTAGCGCCCTTGGGGGGAACTCGGTCGGTGAGGATCGGGCCCTTCGGCTTTGGACCCTCCGATGCGACCCCCTGGTGGATGCCTGCGCGCGGACCCTGGTCAAATGGGCGACGGTCGCGTGGGAAGGCCGCCGCGAGGAGCTGATGCAGCAGATCTAGAGGCGAGCCTCGTTCACAGCCGCGCAGGCAAAGCCTGGGCGCAGCCTCTGGAGAAGTATAAAAGGCCCTGCTGCTGCCGTGCTCGCCACTCTCCGTCGGATATCTTGGAGTTGGCCCCCGTTGTCGGTCGTTCGGGGCCACTTGGGGGCACGTTGGGACCTTCGCCGCGTCGCTCCCACCTGCCTCGAGAAGTCGATGTTCGCCCGACTTGAGTTTGTTGGGCTATCTGCCGGGGCCGCCACCAGAAGCCATGGGATCGCCCGGCCTTTCCTGGGGCCCGTCAGGGCTCTCCTCCGCCGAAGGGCTAACCGATCGCCGCGGAGGAGATCGGCTATCCTCGCTCACACCGGGCGCGATTTATGAACCCGCGATAAAGTCTGGCGCGCGGGCTTTGGGGGCGACGGGCCCTGCCAGGCGCGCGGTTTCGAGGTGGGCCGTCAGCGCCGCCGCACGCGCCGTCGTCCTCGTCGGGGAGCCGTTCGAGCGGAAGCAGCCGAGGCGGATAATCTCACAGGGATCGCGCATCGAGCTGGGACTTCCCCTCGGACTCCCCTCTCTTTTCGCGTGGCATTGTCGAGCACCCCTTGGACGATCCCTTCCTAGACTGCACGCCTGCCCAGGAGGAGCTCAACCCCAGTTTTGAAAACCCGCCCCTGGTCAGCGGCGGCGCCTATTCCGACGGCTTGGGCAAGGGCCCGCCAGGGCTCGAGAGTTTTGACTGGGGTTGCGTCATTATGGACCAGGAGGGGGCCGTGGCCAGGGCCATGCAAGGCCCCCCCCTGGGCCCCGATGCCAGGCGTCTGTTCTTCGCGCTGAATTTGATGGCCTGGTGAAGACCCTTGAATGCACCGCCCCTCCCCGCCGAGTTGGCATCGGCAACGGCGCCGTCATCCAGGGTTTGAGGCGCGGGCGCAAGCGGTGCTGCTCTCCCAAGCGGCCTCGCGCCGACCACTGGGGCCGCGTCTGGTTTTTGCCCCAAGAAAGTTTCCCAGGGGACGACGATCTTACCATTGTGAAAGCCCTGGCCCGCGCCCGCGGGCATCGAGACAACTCCCGGGAGGCGGAGCTCGATTTCCAGGGAAACCAGTCAGCTGACGCCGAGGCCAAAGCGGGGGCCGATCTGCAGGCGATTCCCGAGTGGAAGAGCGCCGCCTGGACCTCGCGGTCCGACGAGGTGCAGGGGGTGCTCAGTCTGGTGGCGGGGGTGACTGTTCGGACGGGGGGATTCGAGGATTCCACGGGGAGGCCCGCCGCAGGCTCTGTCGGGCCCCGTCAGCGCCGCCAAGGCCCACCAGCGGGGGAGAGAGCCCGCGCCCTGGTCTGGACCCGCATGGCTTGGAGGCGCACGGTCTGCTATAGGCGCGCGTTGTCCCCCAAGGCCAAGAGGGCCCTGCGGCGCAAACCGTGCATGGGGAAGGTTCGGTCGGATCGTCGTTTCGTCGTGGAGCGGGGGGAAGGGGGGGCACCTTATCGCACCAGCACTGCGCGGTGAGGCCCTGGGCCATGAGCTGCGCCGCGCAGGCCATTTTACTTTTTGCGATCGGTGCGGTGTCTTTCCGAGCGAGCGGGGGTGTAAGTTGGCGCGGGTGTGTGTTGGTCGGCCCGCCAACGCCAACGCCGAGTATCGCCGCTCGCTCCTGCGCCGATGCAGACATCCTTATAACGCGAAGCTCTCCCTAGGAGAGGCGCGCCGCTCACTCTTACTGTGTGAGCGAGACGCCTTCTGGGAGAGAGCTCTGGACTGAAAAGTGGACGGGCGAGTAGAGGCACCTTCTCTGTGCGCCCGCCCGTCCACGTAATTTCCCTCGAAGGCTGACTAAGGCAAGGTTTGCCAGGTTGGTTCTAGCAGCGTGAAACCTTATCCTCCTCCTCCTCCTCCTGCTCCTCCTCCTCCTCCTCCTCCTCTCCTCCTCCTCCTCCTCCTCCTCCTCCTCATCCTCCTCCTCCTCCTCCTCCTCCTCCTCCTCCTCCTCCTCGTCCTCCCACCTTCATCAGCTGCCTGCTGGCAGTCTGCGTTGTTTTAGCCTGCGTTGCTTTGTTGCTTCTATGTCCCTGCGTGGTTTCGGGCCTCGGTTCTTCCGCGTTCGGTTTTTCCGCTTGTGGTTTTTCCCTGGCCCTCGCTTCGCTTCGTCTTTCCAGCCCTCGTCCGTCGCCCTTCCTCGCCAGAAGCGGTTATTGTTGCCGGGGCTAGCGCTTGACTCTAGCCCATGTCCAATACGGTCGGCTCGCGTCGTGTGAACCAGCGGCGACCCCGCTGCCGGCGTTCAATTTTGAGCGCCGCCAGCGGCCCAGAATCGGTCAATGTTGCACGATCTGACGTTTCGGAAACGGGCGAACGTCTCGGAAACGGGCGATCTTCGCGGTGTCAGGAACCAACGCCGGGGGGTCGACACGACACGAATTTGCCGTAAAGCCCTCCCACACTCCAGCCTGCTCCTCTCTATGCTCTGGGCGGCTTCTCGGCAGCATGGTGAAGGGATTGCTGCTCTCCCTACTCCTCCTTTTCCTCCCCCTCCTCCTCCTCCTCCTCCTCTCCTCTTCTTCCTCCTCCTCCTCCTACTTTTCCCCTTCTCCCCCCTGTTCTGTTATTCCTCCTCTAATTTCCTCATCCACCATGCTATGGACGGCTATTCGTCAGCATTGTTGAATTCGCTCCCCGCGGTCGACCGGGCCAGCTGCCCCCTCTCTGCAGGAGCCGAGCTGACGCCCATCGCAGACCTGGCGCCGCCACCGCCGCCGCCGCAGGCAGTTTGGCGGAGTAGCCCCGTGGGGCCGCCTCATCGCAACATAGGATTGTTATGGTCCAACCGATTGTAACCTTGATCACCAGGGTATTTACGTGTCTGGTTTTGGGAAGCGATATTCGTTCGGCATTTCGCCAGCGTGTCGGAGATTGTTACGACGCGTTTCGGGGTGCTGGAAATTATGTGTGCGATGTGGTCCTTAGGTTCGGTGGGGTCAACATTAACATTTCTGAGATCCTCGCGAATTTCTGGGAACGGCGCTGAGGCCTTCTGGCGGCGCCTCGGGCGCCGGATTGAGCACCAGCGCCGATCCAAGAAATCCGCGCGCATCTCTGAGTTGTTATGAGTCTATCATTGTTTGCTACCTTGGAACAGTTCGAACAACTACCGACCAGTGCGAGGTAATTCATAGAAATGCGACATGATGCAAATTGGTCACCCCACCGAGAGGTTATGCGTAACATTCGACTGAGTTTGTGCCGCGTCATAATATGCTCCGAACATCCCGCTAGATCCTCAACACGTGTTTTCCGGGTTGAGTACACCTTCCCTAGGGTATGCCGCAAGTGGCGCAACGCATCACAAAATCGTTACTTCTCAGGTACTTTCTGCGCCATAAGTTTCGGCAAGGTCTGCGCCGCACAACCACATCACGATTCCTTGGGCGCGTCGGTGTCCCATAACAGACACCATCGATTGCGGCAAGCAATCCAAGACAGTAACAATGTTTGGTCGACAATTCTTGGTCACTTGTAATGAGCAGTGCGAATCCCAAGAACGGGCAACAGGCCATGGCACGTTCTTGGCCCTGGTGAGCTCCAGGGAGTGGCGCGCGGGCGGGGAAGAGAACACGAGTATTCTTAACGTTTCGTCCAAAATCCACCTGTAGGGGGACACGCACGTTCGACCGAACACGAGGAACATGCAAAGATGGGCGTGTGTGTTCGTTAGATGTGTCCGTGCGCCTTCGTCGTCTGGCGCCCATTGGTGCTCTGCTGTGGTTCGGTTCGGGTGAAACTGTGCCCTGCAGGCACGACTTGGGGACCAGTTCTGTTGCGGTGGCGGCACGTTGTGCCCCTTCCGCCAAAGAGCATATGTTTCGGGGGAGATGGGAAAGGAGAATAAAGAGGAGGATGAAGAACGGAAGGTTAGGGCCATCCCTTTCATTCTGCGCGTCAGCCAACACGACCATGGGAGTACTGGAAGAGAGTAGGACGACGACGACCAGGACGCCGAGGTACGCCTGGCGTCGCAAAAATAGCGTGCAACACGGATCTCCGCAAAGCGTGCAATCCCCCGTAAGAAGGATGTTTCCGTGCACGCTATCTTTGTGAGCCGATTGTTTGCCGATGTTCACGCATCGCGCGTTCGGAGACGTTGTCTTCGACGACGCGCTGGGACACGCTTGGCCGCCCGACGTCGTAGACGAGGACAGCCACTCCTTCATACCCCATGCGAGCGAAGCTTACGCGGCCTTCGTAGCGTGGAGGTTCAGAGATGGAGGAGGAGCTGCAAGCAGCAGCGCCGCAGCAGGGCGCGGTCGACCCCGCAGCCGCGGGCGCAATTGCAGCAGGAGTGGCGCAGCCGACTGCCCAACAGGTGATGGGCGCGCTGCGGACCGTGACGGCTCGAGCGGAAGTTGCCGCGAAGCGAGCCCAGGAACTGGAGGCGCGGGCGGAGACGACAGCCAGACAGCAGCACGCTCAGCTTCAGCAGCTGCAGCAAGCCCTCCAGCAGCTGACTGCGCCACCGCTGCGGCAGTTCCAGCGTCAGCGAGGCCAGAGGATCGACGCAAGTGGGACGTCATCGATACGAAGCTGCTGACGAAGCCAGCGCAGTTCAAGGGCAGCGAGGCAGCGTGGCCCGTGTGGTCGTTCAAGCTGCTGGCGTACATCGCGGCGCTCGACGAACACCTGTACCAGGAGCTGATCAAAGTCGGCCAGCAAGCCGAGGAGGACGTCACCAACGACGCGGTGGACCTGACGAACCCCGCGCTCGTCGGCGCGTCTCGACTTGCACCGCATGCTCGTGCTGCTTTTGGAAGGCAAGGCGTTCGCCACGCAGCGGCCGATCCCGAAGGGCGGGCCAGCACCGATGGACCTCGGGTCCCTGACGGCGACGTTGGCAGCAGGAGGGATGGCGCCAACCGAGGTGGCGACGGTCGTAAACGCCATCAAAAAGGGGAAAGGGAAGGGGAAGAGCAAAGGAAAAGACGGCGGCAAGAAGGGGCACGGGAAGCTCCACGACGGAAACAGTGACCCCCGAACCCAGCACAAGATGCAGAGGCACGGCAAGGGCAGATATGGCAATGATGGTCAGCGCGCCGAGACACGCACGCGCAGGAAGTGCCACCGGAAGGGCCACCTGATGGGAGACTGCCCTGACAAGATGACGAGACTGAATAGCACAGCCAGCAAGACGATCGAGCTGAAGCGCGCTGAACTTGGTTCAGCTGCTTACGCCTGCGACGGGCTCAGCAGGGTCGAGCGCGCCGTCCGCGGCGCCGAGCAGCGTCGCGCAGGCGCATGCCAACGCCGCGCAGCTCTCAACGGCGAGCTCAGCGGCTGCTCCGAGCGGCGGCAGCGCCAGCTCAGGCGGCGGCGGGACAGCAGGAGACACCGCGTCCGCCATCCAGTGGGCGCTGCGCCTGGCGCCCCAGGCAGCTCATCCTGCGAATCGGATCTCGACGCTGCGAGGTCCACGAGCTGGTGGCCCAGGAGGCGACAACGAGAGCTACGACGCGCATGTCGCGGTGGACTCGGGGGCCTCCAGAGCGACGCGCCCACGCAGCCATGCCCCGAGCGCGGCGACGCGCGAGCCTGCCCGGCACTACGACGTCCGCGCCGCGGACGACGGGCGCGTCAAGCATTGCGGCGAGAAGAGCGAGCAGTACGACTTGCTCGACAGCTCAGACGCGCACCAGAGTGGGCATCGACTACCAGGTCGCTGACGTCTCACACCCCATCATGGGGGTCGCCGAGGCGCGCGACAACGGCCACTCTGCGCTGTTCTCCCCGACGGGCTCGCACATCGCGCCCGCGGCGCTCAGCCTGCCAGGGGGCATCGCGAACGCGCCCCTGGTGCGACGGGACAACCCGTTCTGGATGCGAGGGCGCGTCGCGGGAGCCACTGCGACGACGTCCGAGACGCCGCGGCTCAATTCAGTTGGGGCCAAAGCACCCGCGGCAGCAGCCCCCGCGGCGGCCGAGCAGCCCCGGCGCGAGGAGGCGCCGCTGGCAGAGGCGGACCCCGACGAGGTGCCAGCCAGGGCGAAGCGGGTGCCCCCCCCCCCCCCCCCCAGCCAGGAGGAGATCGACAAGCACGAGCTCGCCCGCCCGCCACCGCGAGGCTGGCGCGACAAGCGCGCGCCAGCCAAGGCGGCAGACGACCAGCGCCGACAGGGCGGCGGGCCTGGCAGCATAGACGAGGCGCAGGTGAATCACTTGCAGATCGGCGCCGCGGTCGCAGCCGGGGAGCTGGCGGCCTCAGCCGACAGCGAGGCGTGGTTGGCGCCAGCGGATCAGCAGATCGACCAGGCTGTCCCGATGCTTCAGCTGGCAGACCCAGTCGCTGGCGACGGCGTGGAGGCGTTGCTCAATGCGCTGGCGGTGGCGCATCGCCAGTCTACCGCAGTGCGTGCGGTCTTGGGGCCGAAGGGCATGCGTTCCTCCATGTCCATCGCAGCGAGTGCAGCCATCGACGCTAGGGGCATCGCGGAGTGCATCCTGCGCACCGATCAGGAGCCAGCCACCCAGGCGTTTGCTAAGCAGATCTCCGAGGAGCGGAAGCTGAAGAGATTCGCGTACCAGCTCGCGGCGGCGCCTGCCAGGAGTCGCGCATCGATGGGTTTCATCTAGGCCCTGAACGACAAAGTGGCCAAGCAGGTGCGCGTGATCAAGCTCCTGCTCGAGTCGGGCATGGGCGCGCGCATTCCCGTGATCCATAGGGCGATGCCGTGGGTGGTCAGGCATGGTGGGTGGCCCCTCGCACTGTTTGCCGTCGAACAGGCCTCTGGCAAGACGGCCTACCAAGTCAACGTGGGCAAGCCGCGCCGCGGGGAGGCGGCCGCGCTCGGAGGGGTTGCCTGGGCCCGAGCGCCAGGCGACCGCACTCAGAAGACAGAGGCCCAGTGGCGTTTGGGCGTCTGCCTGGGCGAGCCCGAGAAGAGCGACGAGCGCCTGATCGGCGGGTCGCGGCAGACCAGCCGACACCGCGCGATCAGGAGGCAGCCGCAGGAGCGGAGGTGCAACGTGGACGCGCTGAACAGCTTCGCAGGCTTGCCTTGGGACCTCCAGTCCAAGCCCGAGCTCGCGGACGCAGCAGCAGAGCAGCCCTGGGGGGGCGCCGAGCCCCACCACGGTGACAACGCGGCGAGGGCGCGCCAGGCGCGGGCACAGCAGCGCCAAGCCGAGGAGGCGCTCCCAGCGGCAACAGCAGCAGCAGAAGCTCCAGTGGTGGAAGAACCAGCACGCCCACCTCCAGGACCTCAGAACGTTCCGCCAGGACCCCACCCGCGGACGGGCCACATACGCGACGAAGAGGGTGGCGCAGACCTACGGGCCCACCTTGGACTGTCCGAGGTGCCGGGGGGGCGAAGCGGCGCACTCCCACGAGCGCAGGAAGCGCATGGGGGGAAGCTCCTGGACGAGGCGAATCGGCAGGCTGCGGTCGCGCAGCCACGACGGCAGGAGCAGCAGCAGCAGCAGGTGATGCAGCAACAGCGGCGAGCTCATCCCAGCCACCTCCTGCGGAGGGCCCAGCGGGCGACCCCGCGGGGACGGGCGTCGACTCCAGGAGCCGACCAGCAGCTCCCGCGGACAGCGTGCCACGGTCGAAGGCGCCCAGGGTGGCCAACCTCGCGGCGCCCGTGGACGTCAGTGAACTTGCCTACTTGGGACTCGACGGCGAGGATTTGCGAGCGGCTGCAGCTGTTCGCGGCGTCCGCGCGCGACGGGGAGACTCCGACAGCACGGGCCCGCGACCTCGTGCCAGAGGCGGTGG